TTTCATGGAGTAGGACAATGGGTTGCATTGTTCTTTCTAGAGAGAAAAACAATTAGGGTTTGAGAATGAAAACACATGAATGTGATTGTTTCTAACTGAGTGACAAACAATGGAGTTCATTTCTTGAAGTGAGCTTTCAGAGTTGAAAAGGGTGAAACATTTCATCTATATAAGGAGTATAAAAGATTCATCTATGCTCTTGTAGAGTTGTATAGTTGCTCATTTCTGTGATGTTCAATATTTCTAAGACATTGGTGTTGATTTTCATCGATTTACCGAAATATAGGTAATCTTCTTTCTCAACCTCTACAACTGAATTGGATAAATCCCATTATCACTCTTCATATCCCTTACCATCTCCTTATAATGATGAGGTAAGTAATTTGCTTATGCACAAGAAAAGCCCCCTTTTACCTCCACTCTCCAGTTCAAGTTACATGAAATTAGGAGGAACTACTGCAATCATTATTATTGATGAGGGTGGATTTGTCCCTCCAATGACATTGTGGTACATGGCATCTTGGTACAACTAGATGACACATGGACACCACCTAAGCGATGACTTGGGGTCCCAGATCGCGGTTTCTCTTCACCCCGACCTGGCGACTGGCCTTCACCAACAACCTGGTGACCTCGACCACAACTCAGGTCGGCTAGAAGCACCTCGTCCAGGGCCAACCTGTAGCACCTTGTCACTGGCCAAAGTGACCTCGACGCGAGGAGCGACCTCCTTCGAGAGCGTGCCGGCCTGACTGAGGCCCAGGTGGCAATCTGTGAGACGTGCTCGCCGACAAATTAGGCATGCATATGCCGACACTCCCATGTTTCTTGAAAGTTGGCCCATGTACCGAATGTTTCGGAGGGTGGTCAACGTGCATGGTGGTTACCTTCGAGGATTTTGGACTGGTTAGGCACGACCTCCTGAAAATCTCAGATGCGGTGCGTGAGGCCCACACCAAACAATGCCTATATAAACGCACCAACCCCAATGACAGAGGAGAGAGGCGGGTAAGCACATTCTAGCTCTCATACTTTTTGATTTTTTAGTTCGCGATCTACTATGAGAGTACTAATGTAATCATTGGAGCGACCTTGCCAGGTTAGCCACCCCGGGTCCTCTAACATTGATTCTTTGCAGGTTTCTCTAAAGAGCTACCCAGCTCAGCAATCAACCTAGCTCAACACCCAATCTACCCCCAGCTCGGCCTAGTTAGCTCAGCATCCAAGTCCTCATCCAGCAAAAATCCTCCATTTCGGCCTCTGAGTCATCGACCACCTAGAAGTAGTCCGAATAACAGGGTGCTACCAAAAAACCCTTCACCAATTGGCACCATATGTGGGAAACGCTACAAGAAGCTAAGTTCTCACATTCTAAAAAGCTAAGTCCTTATCTTCTTGAAAGCCAAAATCTCACCTTTTAGAAATTAAAGTTCTCACTTTCTAATTTCCATTTTTTATGAATTCAAAGGCACTTTTGAACAGCATCAACACCTAGAACAAATATCAATTACTAGGGGGCAAGAACATTTGTGATGAACCTTGAGAACTCCCCTATGACAATCAGACAAGTCCAGGCCGAACTCAGCATTCCCAGTGCCCCAGATAAATACATCACTACCGCATGTGAACGCCCCTCTCCCATTCTGCGCATGGGAGAAGCCCAATGTAGACAACAACAGAATGACCTCAACTCATCCTCAATAGCAATAAGCCAGGACGAGGCCTCATCAGCCCCATTTCGCGAGGTTGCCTCTACAAGTCGAACTCTTCGTGGCTCCCGCGGGAGCCGGCGACCAACAGACTGCATGGATGCCCTTGCAGGTCGAGCCTTCCAAGGCTCCCACGTGAGCTAGCGACCTAAAGTCAATAGTACTACCCCCGCAAGTCGAGCTCCTAGTGGCTTCTTGTAGGAGTGGATGACCGATGTCACTGTGAGGCTGATGCAGTGCAGTCGTGGCCTCGAACTGCCGACTCACACCGACAACAACTTTATATATCAACAACCCTCATAAGGGGGGCAGAACATGTACGTTGTGGTCTCGCAAGCACTCACCCAGGAAGATAATCCCACGGGATGACGTAGAAGCAGTCATATGAGAAGTTAATAAAGAATGACCACCCGCTTAGGCGAAGTGGTTAGGTTGCACGTCGGCTAAATAATATTATGAGGAGTAGACTATGAGTCGCTCCTAGAGCCCAAGGGCCACGGCGCCGAACAAATAGTGACCTCGGCGCTAAACATGAATAAGACCTAGTCGCCTCTTCAGCATGAGCAACTTAAGACCCAATCGCCTCTTCGGCATGGGCAACATAAGACCCAGTCGCTTCTTCAGCATGTGCAGAATAAAAAAGCAATTCGCGTTCAACCCCATCGATGTGTAGACAGGTCGGGTACATACCGTTCCACCTCAACCTCATTGGTGTGCAAAAGAAGAAATAAAAAAAGAAAGAGAGAAAAAGAAGCAAAGGAAGACTAATTCAGCACAAGAAAGAAAAACAAAGGAAAGACTAATTCACTTTCAGCACCATGAAAGATGCAAACTTGGCCGATTTCTTCACTGTAGACCTCCACTTCGGTTTCAGGCTCCGCATCGAACTCGCTGGCTACTCTCTTGAGAACCAGCTCAAGGGACAATGCGTTGAAGTCTACCTAAATGGAGCGACCTGATAAAGTAGTTACACAGAACCCCTTCTTAAGGACGACATAATGAGCTTTGCTCTCTTGAGGTACTTAGTTGGATTGCAGAACCCCTTGATGGTTGCATCCCTAATAAGGTAGATGTCCTCGGGGTACCTGCTCCACCTCTCCTCAAGCAGATGAATTCGCTCTCATGCCCTAAAAATCAAGACGGTGAGGTCCTACGTAAGATTGCAAACACTTGGACTCTTCTGACCTGAGAAGCAAATTGGACCAGCACTTATGACTACGAGTTTATTGAATCAGTCATTCCGGGCCAAAAAGGACCGATCTACTCCCTTTGTCGAGCTACTTTTAGTTCGGGAGTGGGGGGCAATTGATGAGGGCAAATTTGGTCCTCCAATGGCATTGTGACACATAGCATCTTGGAAAGCTGGATGACACATGGACACCACCTAAGCGATGACTTGGGGTCCCAGATCGCGGTTTCTCTTCACCCCGACCTGGCGACCTGCCTTCATCGACAACCTAGCGACCTCGACCACAACTCAGGTCAACTAGAAACACCTCGTCCAGGGCCGACCAGTAGCACATTGTCACTGGCCGAAGTGACCTCGACGCGAGGAGCGACCTCCCTCGAGGGCGTGCTGGCCTGACTGAGGCCCAGGTGGTGACCTACAAGACGTGCTCGCCGACAAATTAGGTATGCATATCCCAACACTCCCACGTTTCTTGGAAGTTTGCCCATGTACCGAATGTTCCGGAGGGTGGTCAACGTGCATGGTGGTTACCTCTGAGGATTTTGGACCGGTTAGGCATGACCTCCCAGAAATCTCGGATGCGGTGCATGAGACTCACACCCAACAATGCCTATATAAAGGCACCAAACCCAATGACATAGGAGAGAGGCGAGTAAGCACATTCTAGCTCTCATACTTTCTGATTTTTTAGTTCGCGATCTACTTTGAGAGTACTAACTTAATCATCGAAGCGAGCTCGCCAAGTTATCCACCCCAGGTCCTCTAACATTGATTCCTTGCAAGTTTCTCTAAAGAGCTACCCAGCTCGATAATCAACCTAGCTCAACACCCAATCTACCCCCCAGTTTGGCCTAGTCAGCTCGACATCCAAGTCCTCATCTAGCAAAAATCCTCCATTTTGGCCTTTGAGTCAACGATCACCTGAAAGTAATCCGAACAACAGGGTGCTGCCATCAAATTATTTTTTTAATAATACTAGTTTTGAAGACTTATTATTACTATAGATTTATCTTTTAATGATATTAATTTTGTAGATGTAAGTCTTCGATGAGATGCAGAACTTCATATTCATGAAGGATAGTGGGTTTGATTTTGTGAAGGGGTTTGACACTTGAAGAGGACGATGGTATGGTCATTTGACCAAACTCAGAAACCGATCAAACCGAGAAATCATGTTTAGGTCGGTTTTCAAGTTTTCTAGATTGGTTTTAGTGGGCAAAATGTCAATTCGAGCAGTTTGGTTCCATTGAACAAATTGTATGGAACCGAACCGATCTCACTCGTGTAAAGCCCTAGCTGAAAGGTCTGATGTGGTTTCCAACTTTCCATTGGTTTCCATTGGTGTCCGAGAGAAGATTTTGGTCTATATCTCTAGTGCAATTTGGCTCTCTTTATTAGAGAAGATTTGGTCTATATCTCTAGTGCAAGTTAGTTTGTTTTTGTTCTTTTTAGTTTGTTTTCTGTTTTCTTTTTTCTGTCGGACCCATTTGGTGCGTTTTTTCATGCGATCTTTTGGATGTTTATAAGTCGTGAACACCGATTTTTGATCTATTTCTGTTTTACATATAGAAAATCTAGCTGTCAAAAGATAGAACACTGAAAAGACACGAAAAATCCATTTTGGGTTGATTTCGGGAAGCTCCAAATGAAGCTTCTCACGTCTTTTCCGTTTTAATCTCGTACAAAAAAGACACGCATCTGCCAAACATGCTTCAGATTACTCAGATCTACATAAAAACTCAATACCTCTTTTACATGTAAGAGCTATCAAAAGATCTTCCCAAAAATACACACCAAACGGGCCAAGTGTGTGTGTTTTTTTTATGTTTTGCTTAATGAAACATCTTTGTTAGCATAAAAACTTGGATTGGAGTCTACGATTCATGTTATCACTACCCGTAAAGTATAACGTGCTAGTATGTAATTTACTATAAATAAAGTTGTTTCAGGTAATCTGTATGAACTATCATGCTCATGAAGCTTGTCACAGGGGATAGTTGGCAAATTATGGGGCCTGGTGCATCAAATCAGTTTTCAACCGTTCGATGCATCACACGTAGTTCTGCAATATGTGTCCTTTTACCGCCAGAGAGTGATAATAGTTTCCTCTCTCTCTCTCTCTCTCTCTCTTGTGTGCGCGAAATTGAAATATTTGGGAAGGAAAATGGCGAAGGATCGAAGGAATGGATCTGTACCAGAAAGAGATGGCAGAGAAGACGAAGACGAAGAATACGTGAGAAGAGAAGAAGATGCACCGTCGAAGAGGGATCATGAGAAGAAATCGAAAAGGAAGAAAGAGGAAGAGACTGACGACGACAACGGAGATGGAGAGTCTAGAGGTAATGAAGAGGATAAAAGGCTGAGCAGTAGAAGCAAGGATAAGAAGAAGGAGAAAAGGAGGAGGAACTCTGATGGAAGGTCTCGGAGGCGCCACAGCGACGACGATTCGTCCGCTTCGTCTGATTCTTCTTATTCGTCCGATTCGGAGGACTCGTTTAGTGATGATTCTGAGTCAGAGAGTTCTGATTATTCGTCAGAGGGGAGTGAAAGCGAAGACGAGCGGAGGCGGAGAAAGCACCGGGAAAAGAGGAAGAGAAAGGGAAGGGAGTATGAGAAGGAGAGGCGTCGGAGACGTAGAGAAAGGGAGAAGGAAAGGGGCAGAAAGAGGAGAAAGAGGGATAAAGACGAGAAGAAGAAGAAGAAGTCGAAGGATAAGCATAAAAAGAAAAGGTCGGATAGGACGAAAGAAGATGGGAAGAAGGGAGCTGTTACGAATTCATGGGGGAAATACGGGATTATCAAGGAGACCGACATGTGGTAAGGACTTTCTTTTGAGAACCTCTGGATTTCTTCCATTTTTTTTATAAAATGTCTATCGATAATTTTAACTTCTCATTAGCTTTGATTCGACGTTTTAACAAATATAAATTTTTAAAGTTGGATTCTCCTTCTAAAATTAGGTTTTGAAGTTCATTGGTGAGCTCGAAGGAGGAGTATTTACGTCTTTGAATTCATTTTCTTGTTTCAATCTTTCTGCTTGGTTCGTTGAATTGTTGGCCCTCGTCAGCTGGGTGGGTCGTGATTAGGAAATGCTTTAAAGTTATAACCTCAATATTGGGAAATTTGATATCCTTAATAGTAGATTGAGTCCGTTTAATTGGGAACCCTATCGAATCAAGCTCAGGAATTGGCACCAGGTCTCTGAGTTATTATATGCACAATGCACTATTCTTCGCTTTACGAAAAATAGTAAATATATCTCATCCTTTTGGTAGCAGAAACGTGTGCTTGGCCAGCCTATTTTGCAGCTTGACAAACAACGTCCCGCAGAAGAATGCCAGTCTTGTTTACATTCCCATTCTATTCTCTCATTTTGCTTCTTAGAATTTGGATAATGGCTGTGTGCGTTTTATGGATTTTCTACCTCAACTTTTCTTTCATCATATCCTATCATGTTTATTTTTATTCTTTGCTCTCTTTTCTCTACACCTACCGTATGGAGCTATTTCATGCATGCAAATGCTTTGTGTGGCAATTCTAGCATCTTAGTACTCAAATCATGGTCAAAGCACCGGATGTTTCTCCTCTCAAACTCATTGATAGCGTGCTTTTCATCTCTCTCTTTTTTCCTTTTATTTCCTTTTCCAATATATAGATCTATGATCAATCATTCATCAATAAAACAAAGCGTTGATCCATCTGTAAGTTGTGATCTCTCTCTCCTCTCCAGCTATGCATGCCTCCAAGGTCTACAGTTACTATTGGAATCCTGGAAGTTGGAACTTGGAAGTCGTGATTTTAATTTGTATCTAATCAATCTCTCTCTATAATTTTTATCAATAACTGAAAAATTTTCATCAAAAAATTAAGGATAGTACAAAGAAAGGGAGAGATAAACTCTCTTAAGTCTCCCCAAACATAAGAACAACATTATAACATAGCCGAGAAAACATGACTTCTTCCCACCCCTTGTTTTGTCAATGCATCAGCAAAGCTATTAGCATTTCTTTTTACCCAATTCAGAATAATTTTCATTCCTTTAACCAGCCATTTAAATTTCCTTGTCATATTAATGTAGTCCCACCACACCAGTCCCTCTTCCTTTTGAAGCCAGCTTATAACCAGCTTTGAATCCCCTTCAATAATCAGCTCAGAGATGTTCAAATCCTTGGCTCTTTGAATACCTTCCATAACCGCTAGAATTTCTGCGCTCAGGGAATCTCCCATCCCTATTGGTCCCTAGTATAAGGCAATTACTCTACTGTCCTCATTTCTGAAAACTCCTCCAATTCCTGAAGGACCTGGATGTTCTTCACTACTCCCATCAAAATTCAGCTTAGTGAAACCACTGAATGGGGGAGACCAAGATGGCTTAATGACAGCCTTCGGTGCTATGGGATCAACCACTTACTTCCAATTCCTCCTCAAGTCCACAACAGAAACACCGTCAAATAATTTTAGTCTTTTTACCCATCAATCTCTATATTCTTCAAGGGTACCATGATTAGTGTCATAAATCATGACGGTTTCTATCTGTTTTCCTAGATTGTCCATGGGTATACATTGTATCAAATTGGCTGTTCCTTTTCCTTCTCATTATCAAAAACATGTGCCTTCATGGTTTGTCTCTTGTTTTTTGTTTGCTCTTGTCACTACAAACTCGTTCTCCAAGTGTTTCTGGAGTTTGGTAGTAAATGTCTGAATTAGAGCTTCTAAGGTGGTAAATAGAACGCTGATTATGTTCTCCCTTATCATCTATTTTATCTCTGGTCTATACTCAGAGCCATAGGTAAGAATCTTAAAATCTCCAACAGGGCTCACCCCATAACAATTCCACAAGTTTTGATGCTGGAAACTTGGTAGACGATATCCATATGGACTTTTATGAAGCCATTACATTTTTAGTATTCATCATGCATTGGGAATCAATATTAATTGATCATTGGTTTGAAATATGCAATAATCATTTCATTTCTTTATGTCCCATATAGTTGGGATAAGGCATGGATGATGATGATGATGATGATGATTTCATTTCTTTATGCCTTCTCATTTCTCTGACAAACTGTTTTTCTTTTGGAGGAATAAACGACCAGAATTCACTGCATGGTTAGCAGAAGTTAAGCAGGTATGGTTATCTCACACAATCATGTTGTTACATGCACAAAAAAAAGATAATTAGAGCAATCACATATTTCTCTTTTAAGGGAAAAGTTCTTCCAGTGTACCTTCCAGAATAATAATGATAACAACAGAGGAAATATATGCATTCTACAGATTAGTGATGTTACAGAGCCAACATACTCTAATATTATCTGTCTCAAACGGCACTCCAATGTTTTTGTAGTCTTTTTAGAGCTTAGAACCAAAAGAAAAGGGCTGGTTATCTCTTTTGGCCATGCAATGACAGCTATGACACTGAAATTTTCCATGTAGATAGGGAGTGTAATGGGTGGACAACTTTGGTCATACCAAAATTACATTCTCTTCACGTGGCAAATTTAGTCCAATGGTTATCCACCATATGGTAAAAAGAGAGGAATTATTGGAGATGAAAATTCCTTCTACCTTTGGACCCCAAAAAAGCTATTAAGAGACTCTTCTCTACCTTCTTAAGTATTAATTGGATAATAGAGATTCTTTTGTGGGAATTTCTTGAGTTAACTATTAACTTTCACCTGACCTATAGGTTTGTCCTTTCTTCATTTTCTTTTTTCTTTTCCTTTGTTTGGGTGCAGCAAGGGCGAATGGGAATTCAACATATCTTTCGTATTCAGAAGATTAGGAGGCAGCACTGTATGAGTCTTCCTTAAGAAATTACGTAAACAGTTTCACTGAAATTGGTGTGATCAAATGAATTTTTGGCACCTGATGATTTTAGAAGTTCTTTTCGGCTTTAATGGGGGCTGCTGATTTGGGCACATGCATTTTTAGTAACCCAGGCCTATCCCTACTGGAAATATAGAATATACACTTTGTAGTGATAAAAATTGATAGACAGATACTATTTTATTGGAGATGAAAATTCCTTCTACCTTTGGACCCCTAAAAAGCTATTAAGAGACTCTTCTCACCTTCTTAAGTATTAATTGGATAATAGAGATTCTTTTGTGGGAATTTCTTGAGTTAACTGTTAACTTTCACCTGACCTATAGGTTTGTCCTTTCTTCATTTTCTTTTTTCTTTTCCTTTGTTTGGGTGCAGCAAGGGCGAATGGGAATTTAACATATCTTTCGTATTCAGAAGATTAGGAGGCAGCACCGTATGAGTCTTCCTTAAGAAATTACGTAAACAGTTTCACTGAAATTGGTGTGATCAAATGAATTTTTGGCACCTGATGATTTTAGAAGTTCTTTTCGGCTTTAATGGGGGCTGCTGATTTGGGCACATGCATTTTTAGTAACCCAGGCCTATCCCTACTGGAAATATAGAATATACACTTTGTAGTGATAATAATTGATAGACAGATACTATTTTACCTTTTTCAATAAAAAAAGTGGTTTATCCAAATCGTTATCCTGGCTAAAATCTTATTGTCCATTATTCCAATTTCCACCTTCCAAATGAGCGCACTAGAACCATACGTTGTGGTCATCTTTCCAGCTGTTTTTCACTTAGTTTGTCTTTGCACCTGACAAATTATGAGGGCCCAGGCTGTTCTTGAATTAATGGATCACGGTGACTAAAAAATATTATCTATTCAAGCAGTGATTTGGGTTGGAGTTTTGTAAATTACAAAGAACTTCCCAAAATCTTCTTCTCCCAGATGTTGTAGACAATAAGCAGTAATGTTTAAAACTGATTTTTTTCCTTTTTCCACACCATAAAATGTGTCTAACTTCTATTGGTGTTTTAATCTTCCATTTTGGCTAAAGTGCTTATTTTTGCGATGCATTTTTGGTAATTTGCCTTTGGTTTATTTGACTGTATTGGTAAAATAATTGATTGGTGGAAATGTGTCCACCAGGTAGTTCTAATGAGTTGGAGATTGTTGCATGCCTTTGTAACTTGGATTTTCAACTGCAGGTGAACCTAGAAACTCTATCCAACTGGGAAGAGAAGCAAATGTTCAAAGAGTAAGATAACTCTAACTATTCTACCTGAATTGTCAAATGAAGCTTATCATACTTAATTAGGAATCCTATATAGATTAGAAGCATGCACACTGGACACTAAATGATACATTTATGTTGTGTTAGGCTATTGTAAGCACTAAGTACCATACTACTATTATCTCTCAGGTTCTGACTTAACATTTATCCGTCTTACAGATTCATGGAGGATCATAATACAGCTACCTTTCCTTCAAAAAAGTAAGGTTCTGCTCCATTTTCTGCGCATCATGATTTTAAATGGTTGTGACTCACATACACACACAAGCAAATCCCAACATTCCAATTTCCAAAGAAACTGACATAAAATGGAGCCGGTACGAAAAAAGGGCTGGTCTTCAAACATCTAAACAATCAAAAACACTTTTACAAGTTTATCCCCAGCCTGGTGCTCCCCCCAACACTATTTTTTTTTTTTTGACAAGTGTTGGATTTGTATTATATTATGCCGTAAAAAGGTTAGGGACCAAAGGGTTAAATCTTCTTGATTAGTCTTTCCTTGGGATGTTTCTTGTGATAAAAGGTTCTTAGGTTCCACTTCTCCCAAATTAACCAGCAAATAGCAAAGGGGGTTAGGTTGCATAGAATCCTCTCTCTTTTAGAGAAGTTCTTTACCAGAGAAGTTTCAGAGCATGTTTGTTTCATCTAGAATCATCCATACTCTCCCAAAAAATAGTGTGAAATTGAATTGAGTACTGTTGCTAAAAGGGCAATAGGGAAAAAGGTAGGGAACCAATTCCTCATGCTGGTGGCATAATGAACACTATTTGTGAACACTTCTACCCTTTACTATAAGGTGGTTGATTGCCATCCATAAAAAAGGTGGTTGGTAATAAAAAATTTGTTCAGGTTGGTTAGAACTGTAATCAGTTCGGATCTGGCTACATCTACATCCAATCCAATTATTAAGCCTTTGGATCCCAATCCTAACTGAAATTTGATATGTCGCATGTTGGACTCAGATCAGATGTGGATTTGGATTTAATCTACATCCAACTTATTGTGCTTAAAATGACAAAAGAAATTCTAAAAATTAATTGTTTTTAATGTATATATATATATGCATTTATATATTATATATAATAAATGTATATAAATATTAAATATTAAATTTATCAGTTATAAATTTTATATAATTATATATACAGAAGCATACAATTACACTACATATATACATAAAATAATAATTTTTAATTGGATTGGATGGGGTTAAATCTGCATCTGGTTCCATTATTAATTGGATGCAAGTTCTAATATCCAAATCTGGGATAATTGGATTTGGTGTCAAATTGGGTATCGGACTTTCGGAGTCCATTGACTGCCCTAAGGTTGGCCATCCACATAAATAAGCATACTCTTTTGGGTTGTTGGAACTCCAAATCCATCACTTGGAGTTAGGTGTGTCAAAAACTACCAGGGGATTGGACTGGTAGCATGGATTTTCATGAGCGATTCAAATGGGATAAGCATATACAAGAGGCTATAGTAGGGACCTCTAAAAGCACAAAAATCACCTTATTTGTACAAATGAAGTATCAAAAGCAACAAAAGAGGAGAGTAGGGGATTGCTTGCAAACAGATGGGCCCTATATACCTAGCAGCATCCTGCCTTAGCATCACGTTCTTGGGATGAGAAAGGATTGTTGAGTATTTAAACATTTGTTTCCAACCACTGCCCATGCAGCTTTCTGATTTTTTTTAATGAGTTTAAAGTAGATCGGTGGTCCATATTGTGGAGATTACTATTCACTGTTGTAGTTTTCTAGTCCTAGTGTTTCTTTGCAGTTGCCTTCCCATCTTTTTAGGGCTATTATTTCTCTTGTCTCTCCTATTTCTTTCATCATAGTTTTACTCTCAACAGTTCAGTTATTTTACTATTTGAACTAAAAATGGTTTTATGACTGCAGATATTATGGTTTAGATGCTTACCATAGGCGTCAGATGGAAAAAGAGATGAAAAAAGGTTCAAAGAAGTTCCTGCAAATAGAGCGTACTGTATTTAATGATGAAGAGCAGCGTCGGTATGTCTTGGTTTATTTGTTTTTTTCCTTTAAAAATTTCTACTGTGATGCCTAGATACAGATAGGGCACAAACATAGATACAGTAAATGTAGCATATGACTCTCCATTTCCTGAAATCCTGGACACATGTGGCTATGGGTATCCCATGTAATATGCATAATTAAATTTCTAGCATATGCAAATTTTTTATAGTATATTAGTATGTATATAATATATATATATATATATATATATTTAAAAGTAATTAATGCTATAGAGTACATCTAGATGTATCCCATGCAGTATCTGGCATTTGTATCTGATAACTATCATATCCCGACACCAGTATGCCAGGCATGTACAGGCATTTAGACAATTTTTCCTATAAGAAGAAATTTTTTAGAAAGAATGAGGATTGAATGGTCCCAAATACAAAATAAAAAACCAGAGGTTCTACTCAGGAAGGCCCATCAACCTCAAAACATATAATCATAGTCTCCTTTAGCCAAATGTCCCAATTAATGCTGAAGCCCATCATCTCCTACTCGTTAAGGATGCTGGAACAATGAAACAATGGTTGTAGATTTTTCAAAAGGGATCAAATTTAGGGAATTGTGTAGCCTTAGATTCATTATTTTGCAATTAATTGTAAGGATTTGCACTTAAAGATTGCCATTTGCGGTTTGCGCCACTCTGATAAAACATAAAACTTATCCTATGTTCTATTGTTTCTTAGAAAGAAACAACTGTGAAAGGAAGCATCATTAAGAAAGAGGTTACCCCTCTTATCAATGCTCTAAAATTCAATGGCTGATTCACTTGCTAAACAGGGGGTTTCTCGGGATTCTTTATCTTGTATGTAATCAATCTTAAAGGAAAGGTCGCATCTCATGCCTTTCCTTGGGTTGCCTGTAACTCTTATTTTCTGGATTAATAAAATATTTATTCGTTGATAAAAAAAATCTATCATATCAATGAGTATGATAAGCTTCTGTTGGAACACCAATAGAGATAGAAATTCTGTCCAAACTGCCTTGGGGAAACAGTTCATGACAAATTTATTAATTGGTGAGATATGTACTTCTATCTATAAGTTGATCCTATGTTGGAAAATCACAAAAAAAGAATGAAACCCTGTTAGTTTCAGGAACTAGAAACCATAGTCAGCAAAAAAAAAAATACATGATCCTTGAAAGATATGCATGATATACATATCAGATGAATTTTTAACAATACAGGACAAAAAAAAAGATAAGAGTTGACTGATTTAGGAATCCACCCTTAAAGATATTTGCTCTTGAAGTCAATGCCCTTGCCTCACAAATCACATGTAATAACCCTCAATTCCTCTAATGGCTGTGTTGCATTCTTTCAATGAATTAATGAAAGCCTGGGGACCTCCCCTCAACCTTCAACTTTTCATAGTCCATGGAAATCATCAGTTGAAACCCTGTAATAAAGTAAAAAGCTTTGCATGGATGGATGTGCCCTCTCCCATCAGATCCAAATACAGCATGAGGATCTTACCTCTAGGTCCTAATAATGAGCCTTCTATGCCTGGAGGATCTGGATTCCCAATCAAATGATTGTCAAAGTTGAGCTTGATAGCTTCCAGGAGGAGGGAGAGGACAAAAAAGAATTCAACAGGATGGGGTCTAGAGGTAAAAATTTTTGGAGAGCCTTAACTCATGCTGTTATGTGGTGTATCTGGGATGAACGTAACAGGAGAAGTTTTGATAACAAGTTTGTGAGGACTGAAGCAATTAGAGAAAGAATTCTTGAGTGCACCTTTTCCTGGATTCTTTCCTCTGATCATTTCAAAGGTTTCAGATATGCTGATCTTGCAAGGACCAAGGAGTTTAATAGAGATTATACAGTCCTCCACTGTTAACAATCAACCAAGGCACCTCCTCATTCCCAGGCCTGAGTTAGATTATTTACTGAAGTTTGATGGCAATTGTAGAGTAATCTCTGGCCAGATTCCGGCGGCTGGCATTGGGGGAGTGATTCTAGACAGAGAGGGCTCAGTGATTTGGGCTTACAGTGGTCCCGCTGGTGCAGTAGATGCTGCTGAAGCTGAAATATGAGCATTAGTGATTGGTCTGAGAACTGTTAAATCGCCACAGCTTAACTCTACTCGTTGAGGGAGATTCTAGGAATGCTATTAGCTGGGCCTCCAATCCAGATAAGGGCCCTTGGAGACTGGGCCACTTTCTCAATGAGATTTCTGAGGTTTCTTCTCTGTTTTATGAATTGAGATGGATTCCAAGGGAACTGAACTCAATTGCGGATCATTTGGCTAAATCTGTGGTGGATAGAACCTTTTTATATATTGCAACTGTGCAAACACTTTGCCCCTTAAGTGGGGTGTCTCTTAATAGGGCTGTCTGTTTATTCTGTTTTTACATCCCCCCCGCCCCCCTTTGCGCTTTGCTGGCTGTCAAAATAACTGCTACGGAAGTTCTTATCTTAAAGAGCCAGAGCCCAGCCCATAAGAAAGCTAGCATGAATTTTGGTGGAAAATTTGCTCCTTTCCTTAATTTCGTGTTTGGTTTGAAAGAAAAGGGAGGGAAACCTCTTCCTTAATTGACTTAATTTCCCTTCCTTTTCTTTCAAACCAAAAACAGCCCAAAAGATTCTATTTCTTCGTCCAGATAGTCCAACAAATGGCAAAAGATACTGTGGCTCACTGCTAGTCACCTATAGATGCATTAGTACTCCATCCACTAGCAACTGCATTCACCAAGAAATCACTGAACTCTTCATGATTCATTAAGCGAGGGATGATAATTGTATAAATGCTGCTTCCTATAAAAAAATTGTATAAATGTTTCTGTCCTCGGAACTTTCTCCATGTTGGGATAATTTTCTGGCAGTTTCCTCTTTGTAATGGATGGACAATTTTATTTTGTTAAATGTGAAGATTATTTGAATGAGATGGATTTTGAGGATTCATACAAGATTTTTATTCACATATTGTGAAAATCCAACTTGCCGATCCACTCATGTACTGATTATTAGTTCTTGACTCCAGTTAGGATTAGCACCAATTTGTCAACTCCTTGTCACAGTTCTGTGGAGTCTTTCTCAAAGTAAAGCATGAATGCCATTAATTTCAATCGTACGCATGCATCACAGCATGTTGATGGGCTATATTTTTGTTAACCCCCCTCCCCCCCCCAAAAAAAAAAAAATAAATAAATAAATAGATAAACAAAAGCATAATCTCTGCAAGTCAGGTAACTACGCTTAAGCAATCATAGAAACAAAAGTTAGCAAATGTGAGTAATGATTGAAGTAACCAGAAGCATATTTGAAAACTGCACTGGGGGAAGCCTTTGAACTGCAACAGTTTTGACCTGCGGATAAGACACACATACAAGGGTGGTAACATTGAGGTTCTTGTGGGTATAGCAAAGTGCATTTGTGCTTTTGGTTGTAGTCCAACTGTTAAGTCTATCTTCATTTGCATTAAATTATGTAAATATATTTGTTATATGAATAATTAGAATCAGTTTTGTTGATTTGAAGAAATAGAATATTGGTATTTAAAAAAAAATCAGTTTTACAAGATAGAATGTGCCAAGCACCAAAAAGTTACATTAGAGAGCCAATCTCCTTTTTTCACACAACCCCCCTTTATAGTGTAAATATATCTATCACTATTTCTAGGTTTAACCAAGAGCTTTGTTTTACTTCAGGCAAGAATTGATGCGAGAGCGTGAAAAACAGAAGGAAGAACAGGTGGAATCCTTAAAGTGCATGATGCAGAGTGGAATGGTAAATATGCTGCTCTACCACTACCAGTCTTTTTCAATTATGTATTCATAGTGTTCAAGGTGCCAAGGTAAAGCTAGGAGACAAGGGAGCATGATGCCTAGGCATAACCTAGGCAATGAGTTATGCAAGTAAAAAAATCCCTAATGGGCTTAATGAGTTCCTTCTCTAAAATACTTGGGACGATATAATTGGGCAACCCCCAGAACCACTTAGGCTGTGTTTGGTATTATTGGTGTTTCAACCTTTAATGTTTTGAGTTGAAACACCGTTCATACTTGAAACACAAACACCACTAATTGTAACTGAATCCTGCTTGGGGAGAAATGTGCGTTTTTCATCCATATCAGTACCGCATCAGTGCCATGGCAGTCAAGGTGTTGAGACTTTTCTTCCCAAAGCAGCTTGGAACACTCCCTAGCATAGAATTTCATGCAAAGTGTTTTATGACTGCTTTAACTCAAAACATTCCCATTCAGATAGAAAATTGATTATTGAACCCAAAATGCCAATGTGGCACTGATGTGGTGGTGTTTATACTTGAAAGTTGAAACACAATGGTACCAAACAACCCCATAGGTGCCTGGACGGCTATGTATTTATTCTTTTGAATGCCAAGCCAAATCAAGTTAACAACACAACATTTTGAATTGCATTGTATAATTCCTCCCTTTCTGGATTTTCAGGCACAGGCAATGAAAGAGCAAGCCCAGCTTAGAGAAGAAATGGCATATCAGTACAAGCTCGGAAATTTTGAGGTCAGCACACTTGATCCTTACTCTGCCTTGTTATGTTTAGCTCTGCCAGCTTCCACTGAATCATCAACAATACTGTTATTTATATCCTAAGGCTGCAATGTTCTGCTTAGTAATGCATGCTTTAACCATCTTCTACCGAATTATTGACACTAGCATTATTTATATCCTTAGGCTGCAGCTGCCATTCAAAGAAGATTGGACCCAGATGTTGCCATGTAAGGCTCTATGGTGCCCCTGCATGGTATCAGAATCATTGTTGCACTATAATTTGCTTTTATACAGTTATTGGCAGATACTGTCAATGTACTGCACTTTGGGCTTCACTTGTGTAAATGCGTTAGCCGTTAGGCTGCAGAAGGATAGAGGCGTAGAGCTCCTGTTTTTAACTTTTGGCTGCTCACTACTACATTGTCTTATTTTGGTGAATGACTAAATTGAATCTCCTTGGAAAACATTTTTACATTCTCCGCAAGCTGTGTTCCGAAATTTCTACTGGAACCTGTTTCTTCTCGTTACTTTTCCACTGGTGCTGATCGAAAGCAACGATTCCATCATTCCTAATGCTATATACTAAACAATGCTGCATATGCATTTATTGTGCAACCTGAATCCGGATTTGCTCCTCACGGCGACTACCTAGCATCTTTTAGCGGCACATCGGGAATATCTCCCGTATTTACACGTTATTATTCAAGGGAGATGTTCCCAGTACACAGTGGGATGTGGCTGTGATGTTGGTGTGAAGAGTATTCTGTGAGGGCAGAGCAGATCTCATCACCCCGTGAAGACCATTGACAACAATTCTAGAATCATTCCTGACCTAGTCGCAAACCTTCCAAGGTGGTGGTTCCTCTCTTCCTTGAAGACCATTGACAACAATTCTAGAATCTCCTTTTAGAACGTTGGAATTTCCTTGCTACTTGATGAGCTTCAAGTGCTGCCTAAGCTTAAACTTCATTGGTGGTATAGACGGTAGACCCCAACATTTTTACGCACCACCCAGAGAACTTTAGTAACAGTATCTTTAGTAATGACTCCCACAGCACAGCGGTCATCAGCTCTCCTATATGCATCGAAGATGACTTTATGCTCTCTGGTAATTTTAGTGGGGGGCTCTGAACTCTGGAGTCTGAACCAAGATGAGCATGCAAGTAATCAATACAGTTAGATCTGGCCTTTTCTAGTTAGACAGGTGAAGGTAGACTCTTATTTCAAAAAAAAAAAAGAAATCTTACTATTTCTATTTTTTCAAGTATGGGAGATTTCCAATGCACACTCAGATGTGCTGTGGGGCGCACTGTGTTGGGGCTCTGATGTGATTTCCTCCAAACCATTGTTACTTGATACCATGGTTTTCAAAACCGGACTGGACTGGATGGTCGGACCGGAAAAACTGGAAATCGGTTAGGTGATCGGTTCCGTTTTTCCCAAAACTGGATTTTTGCCAAAAAATATTGATTTGGTCAGCAAACCGCTGACCCGGGTGGTTGAACCATTCGAAACCGTTTAACGGTTGACTTTTTTTATTTTTTTTATATTTTTGTCGGAATGGGCCTGATTGTTCAATTCGAATGGTTGGACCGTTTGACCTGGGAACTGGACCCCTGGCCGGTTTGTTGTCCGGGTTGGTTTTAAAAAACCTTGCTTGACATGCTCAATAAGGCGGTGTTTGGCACCGTGTTCATCTCGTAGACGGGACCGTGGACCACGGGATGAAGACTTGTTCGGCTGGGTGTGGACGGGACCAATCCACGATATAGCGTCAACAGGAAAAACTCGTGGATACGTATCCTCCATGGTTTATTATTGATCTCATGCTTCAAAGTCTCTCTGAAACCCTATTGTCTGTTTCACATTACCGTTGGAGGTCTCCACTGTCCGTCCACTGAAGCTCTCCGCTGCTCCGCCCGCTGAAGCTTCTCCACCGTTGCTTTTTTCCACCACCGATAAGTTTCTCTCCGCTTGCTAGTTTCTCTCTTTCTCTCTCTCTGTTTCGCATAGATTCATATTTCCGCAGACAATCTGATGAAAAAAGACAAATGAATGCTAGCTCATTTCTCACCGCCCGCTAGTTTCTCTCTTTCTCATCAGACAAAAAATTAATGTTAGCTCAGGAAAAACAACCGTAGTTTATTAGAAATGAATGTTAGTTCTCGAGGAAAAACAACCAGCAAATGAAAGGTAATTTGGTTTCATGTATGTAGCTTTCTGTAGCTTTTTGTGAGAGTACTGGCTGTTCATTTTTTTTTATCAGAAATGAGCTTTCTGTAGCTTTCATTTCTATCAGAAATGAGCTAAAAAAATGTTGGCTCATTTTTTTTTTCTCTATGTATGTAGCTTTCTGTGAGAGTACTGGCTGTTCCAAATTTTGATTGGACCGGCAGTGCATCTTTGGAAGGTAGTTTGGTTTCATGGGACAATTGTTGAGTGTCTTGTTTAAAGCAAATTCATCACTTGATGAGAAACCTTGAAAAACAACTTTTCAAAAGTTTTTTATATGCTGAGAACAGTAACCTCAACCTCTCAAGTGTTGCGAAACAAAAACACTTCACTTTGATCATCAGATCTCTTCCTTTTTAAAGAAGGGGTCCAGGGTCCAAAAACTGGGGGAGAAAAAAAAGATTAGTTGATGGATTGTAGATGGGAAGTGACTGTCATCAAATGGCAATTCCTGTAACTGGAAGCACTCTCTGTGCCCCAACCAACCACATATGGTCATGCATTTTCTCTGGTGCAGAGATGCCTTGGATAGAGCCATGTTGACTGTACAAATTTTTAATGTTTTATTAGTTTGTATAAATTGTTAGATGTCATGTTTATGTTGCAAAAATTTGTTTTATCAATTGTTTAAATATTATTTTTAATATTTTTGTTATTATAATATTAATTATTTTACTTAATTTTTATTTTAATAATTTTTTAATGTTTTTATCAATAAAATAATATTTTTAAAATTTTAAAATATATTTTATTTATTTTTTTAATAATTTTACTATTGTTTTATAAAAAAATTAATATTTATTGGTTAATATTAATTCATTGATGCATTTTTCAAAATATTTATCATATAAAATGCATAAATTAGATATTTATGATTAACTGTGTATATCATTCATAAAATGTGTGGTGTGGACTGGTCTACACCACGCTACAGAATGCCAATGTGAGTGTGGACAGGTCCACTCCACACAATTTGTCCACAATTCAGAACAATTATGAACTACAATGTAATGTGGATTGGTCCCTACCACAGGGTGTGGTGTGGATTGGTCCACACCCACCAATTTCTCATCCACACTACACCAGAGGGTGTATTCTGTAGTGTGGATGAGAAATTGGTGGGTGTAGACTAGTCCACTCCACACCCTATGACAATGTCCAACCCACACCACACCTTATGGCAATGTCCAATCCACACCACACCACAGTCCACAACTGTTCTAAACTGTGGACAAATTGTGTGGACCAGTCCACACCACACTTTTTGATTTCATGTATCTCATATACATTTATGAATGGTCTACACTAACATTTTAAAAAATGACCCAGAAATGGAACTATTCTGGCCATCAGTTTCTGGGTCGACGGTCCGATCGTCCAGTTTGAACAAACGGCCTGTTCGAATAAATAAATTAAAAAAATAAAAAACCATTGAACAGGTCGATGATTCGACCACTCGGGTCAATGGGTTGTTGACTTTTGCAATGGTTTTTGGCCAAAAACTGGGTTTGGGGTAAAATGGAATCGCTTGCCTGGACGGTTCCCGGGCCGAACGGTCCGACCGTCCAGGTCAACGACGGCTTGAAAACCTTGATCTACATATTTAGTCATAAATATCTAATTTTTGCATATATGATAAATATATTGAAAAATGTGTCAATGAATTAATATTAACCAATAAATATTATTTTTTTATAAAAATAATAGTAAAATAATTAAAATTTTAAAAAAATATATTTTAAATATTATTTTATTGATAAAACATTTAAGTTTTAAAAAAATAAAAAAATTAAGTAAAATAATTAATATTTTATTAACAAAAATATTAAAATGTGAAACAAACAATAGGGTTTTAGCCTTTTAGGGAAAGTGTGAAGTAGGGGATAAAAAATCAAGTGTGGGCGGTCCCTAACCATGAGATTTTGCCGTGGATGAGAAATTGGGGTGTAGATGGGACTGGTCCATGATATAGTGTGAACCGGTCCCATATCCACAATCTGCAGAACAGATGTTCATCCCGTGGACAGAGTGTGCCTAAGTTAGGAAGAATTAGGATCTACTCCTAACAGAGTGTGCCTAACACTGATCTCACAGCCACATCCCACTCTGTATTGAGAACATCTCCCCATGAATACTAAATACAAGTACAAGAAATGTTCCTGATGTGCGGCCATACATCATGGTGTGAGGTCGCACGCTGTACGAAGAGCAGATTCGGACTCAGTTTGGAAACATCTCATGAATGACGAGGGGTCCAACAAGCTTTGACACGACCCATTGGCCAATGGCCATTGACGTCCCTAAATCCGATATTAATCAAACTATCAAAGTATCCGATACGATATGGGATTCCCATTTTTTTAACGCTGTGTTCGGTTTGAAGAAATACCTTTACGTACTTTTTTTTTTTTTTCTTTCAAATCAAACACAGCATAAGCGTACAAACTGACCCAATATCTCAATCCAGTGGCAGTGGGTCTCACGTTGAGCGCCAATCCACTTGCAATTGCATCCTTCGTGCGACTGGTACGACCGTGAGCAAGAGATATCTCAGAATCTCCCACTCAGATCAAGAGTCAAGAGTCGAGTCAAGAGTTGACCTCATTGACGGAGATTGATTTACTCCGCTCGATGGATGACAATGGATGCACCAAATAAAAGCGTCTCCCTGTCTCCGATACAGAATATTAAGCAACGTGAATAACGGTCTTAAGTCTTAACCCAGATTTCCACATAATCAAATATAAAATATAATCCTGACCAGTCAGTTGATGGACTCACCTCTTCGTCACAGCCGTTGAATGCTTTAATCGGTCAAATACCTCCTTCAACCATTCTCATATTTAAAGACAGTCCACATCTCCAACGGTCCTGATCAATGTAGTAGGTGAGACACAAATTCCTTCAAGCGTGAACTGGACCTTTATTAAAAAAAAAAAAAAAAAAGCTTCGAAACACAAATGAGCACGTCGTTAATTTGTCACGAGCCTTGTTATTTTATACAATTCAAAGCACGTTGTTGGTCAAATAAACCTTATTTTATATTAATGCCTTCGTAGAAAGTAGAAAGATGATCTGTTGATTCTTCTTTACGGCTATGTATGACAATTTGGGCAGGTTTGATGGCCACCACCATCCCATGCCATGCATTTGACGACTTTGGATCTGCCGACCATAACACACTTTGTTGGATGCATTCACCTAGTGAAATATCGGTTACGTTGTATTTTAAGTAGTCAATATTTTTAATGTGTGGCTAGATGAACATGGCCAGTAGTGGTGGATTTGAGTCAAGCCGACTTAAATATCTGGCTATTTGAGTTTGGCTTGTTCATAAATTATTAGGTTTAAGTTCGAATTCGAATTCGATTTGAATTGGAGACTTAAGTTTGAGCTTGGTTCAAGTCAAAAGTTCAAAAGTTCGAATTTGGTTCGGTTGCCTCTGATAGCAAGTCTCCCTCAGTTAGTGCTGAGTCAGATTTTCCTAGCAGTCGAGGTTTCCTTCAACTATTGGGGTACTGAGCCAAGGTCTCCCTCAGTGGCTGAGGTGCCAAGTTAATGTCTCCTTTAGTAGTCGAGGCTATGTACATATATACTCAATTCGGCTCGTAACTCGCAAGCCTCACGAGTCGAACTTTATTAAGTTCGAGCTTGGCTCGATTAACAAACGAGCCTATATATTAGATTTGATTTCGATTCAAAACTCAGTTTAGACCAAACTGAGCTCGAACAACTCAGCTTGTGACCATACAGGCTTTGAATTGAATCAATTATTAATTAGAATAAATAGATCTGACCCGATTATAATTAGATCTTACCTAAATAACTTCACATTTATAATTAGGGTAGAGGTGGGTATTTGTAGTTTTGTAGTTTGGGGTAGTGACACTTACATGCTTCAATTTTCAATTGCAACAACCAAATATATTGAGCTTTCAAAAATTCACACTCAACTCTAACACCATTAACCGTGAGAGGTAAAATACCCGTATTAAATTCCTTCCATGCAGTCCTGATAATGAGTTGAAACAAGGTCAGTCTACTACAATTCTGAAAAGGGCCCATTGTGACAAAATATGTAAAGAGTAGTTTTGGAAGTTTGAATTGTTTCCAAGTGTGTCTGCCGGACTCGTTGATTTTTGAAAGTTCAGAATACTCAGTTGTTTTGCTTGAAATTTGAGGCCTTAAATGTCACTACCCCCAATGTATAGGGTAATTATCTGAAATTTTGCCTTATAATTATCCATGATTTTACTTATCTATGATGTGGAATTGTAATAATTGGTTAAGAGTTTCTCTGTTATAGTAATCCAATTTATGATAATAACATCTTAGAACTTCATTTTTTATAATGTAACCTCAATAAAAATGACAAATAATAAAATATTTATATGTTATGGAAATAAGATTTTTTTTTGAAAATTATCTTATTTACTGTACATGAATTTATTCTTTTATAAGCATAAAATATAACAAAAATAACATTTTGGAACAGCAAAAACGTTCCTGACCCAACTATTAAATCCAAAACACAAATCACACAACCAGAACTGATATAATCGAGTCTGTCTGATTAACCCAATTGATGGTTGCTGAGATCAGAGATAGTAACCCTTTTTGTACTTGGTCAGACTTCACGGCAATTCCTCACTTCCATCAATCACTTTCCTATAATTCAATATTTTCTGCAACTACGTACAAACCCAAGTAGCCCAGAGGAAGGATCTATGAAGAAACAAAGAAAGACTCTTGGAGCTTTCTCTCTGGGATGCGCTGTTGCTTTATATAAGCAGTTCAGAGTAGAGTACGGCAAGCTTTTGGGTTCATGAGTATGGCCAGAGAGCCAAACCAGGTGATAGGCGGGAGTACGAGTCATCAGTCGACGCCGAGGACGAGATCCCCTGCTCCATTCCTGTGCAAGACGTACGACCTCTTAGAGGAAGAAGAAGCCTTCGATCATGAGAGCCGCCGCTGTAAAAGAATTGTGTCGTGGAACAGCGAGGGGAACGGATTCGGCGTTTGGTGCCCTGAGGACTTCTCGCAGTTCATCTTGCCCAGATATTTTAAGCACAATAACTTCTCTAGCTTCATTCGTCAGCTCAACACCTACGTAAGTTACTGGAAATTAATTCCTAATTATTACAAATTTAATAACATTCAACTGGGTTGATGAGCTCCACCACTCATGCAACCGTGTTCATCCACTCGGTCCATATTCTGCAGCGTTTGGATCGAGGAAACTAGCTTGCCATGAGCTCGTTAATGGCTGAGGCTTTTTATCCAGATGCAGGTCGTAGTTGCAGAAATAGATGCGGGTCTATGAAAACCAAGTTCAAACCATTCTTCTTCACTATAAAGTTGCACCTTTTGGGGAGTTGAATTAAAAAAAAAAAAAGAAATAAAAGTAACAGTCTGAATCCAGAAATCTGTCTGTCGATCCAAACCAATACAACCAGCAAGCTTACATGGATTATTATTATTTACAGCTTACCAAGAACATGTTTTCTGTGTTTTCTTTGAAAGCAGATGATTTTGATTTGTTTTTACATTGGAGAACACCCCCTTAAAACCTTCCTATTTTAATCATATCTTCATTTGAAATACTAGAGTAGAGAAATAAAAATAGCTGAACTGATTGAAGGAAAGAAAGAGGAGGGGGGAGACTCCCCATCATTATTTAGACCCTTTAAATCTTTGGTTTGGGCTTAGAACCTCATGAAACCATGGATATAGTCCTTGTATAATATGTAGGAGCCCTGCATGAAAGCAAGCAATTATCAAACGATTCTCTACATATATATTTTTCATTATATATTAATACCACCAATTTTACTTCAATAACTGTGCAAATCCAAAGCAGGGATTCAAGAAATCTGCCTCGGACCGATGGGAGTTCCAGCATGAGAAGTTCCAAAAGGGACGTAGGCAGCTGCTTGTGGAGATCACTAGAAAGAAGTGTGAGCCAAGTGTCTTCCCAGCTTTCCTCCAAGCCTCTACCAAAGACAAGGCCACCGCCGTTGACAAAACCAAACATCTGCTGCTACGGGAGAATGAGACCCTAAAGAAAGAGAAGTCCCAACTGCTAACGGAGATAGCACATTTCAAAGCACTAGAGACTAAGCTCCTGGAGTGCCTTTCCCAATTCCCAATACATAGGTAGCCACAGTTGAGTATAAAATGAGAAAAGGAGAGTAACAGTAGAAGAAACCAAACACATTCCTCTAACTTTGTAATGGGGGTGGGGGGCAGGGAAAGAAATTCTTGGTCTCCTTCCAATCCATACCCACAAAATTCCATCCCTGAATCACTTTCAAGGTCGACTAGTCAACTGAGCATATATGGAAATTAAGCCTTTATGATGTACTTGGAAATTACTTCATGTAAGAATTTTTTAATGGGATCTGAGTTTTCTTGTCCAAGACCACCATTCAATTGCAGATAAGTGTACATAGAATATCAGGTAAGCAACATAAATCTCTTAAGACGAAGTTTGATCTGTGTACTTTTTATCCAAACCATCTGAGTTTGATTTATCGCATTCTTTGGATTATTAGGAAACATAAGAAAAAATACGAATTGAATCATCTAACAAGATCACCAATGGCACATTCTGGGTCCGCCCTATGCACATGTATACACTATACTATATATATTAAGGAAGAAATTGACCCAAATAGATCATCACCAGGAGGAAAAAAAACTAGATTTTGATATTTCAGAGCACACGATTCCAATTAAGTCTCATCCTGTAAAAAAATATCATCAAATGCAGATTGATTTGGGCTTCAGCCTTATAAGACAATCGGAGGGTTTATTCATTAGCTGAAACCAGATGGAAATAAATCATTCCTTACAAGCTAGCTAGTGGAGTCAGTGATGCCACCTTTCCCAAAACCTTTCTGGGTTCAGTCTCTTCTGCTTCACCAAATTAAGATCGGTAGAATAATCTCCGGAAATTTGCTGTTGTTCGCTTCTAAATATCTGAGCCGCCATGCAGAAATGTTGGGAAGAATATTGGGCAGTTGGAAAACTCCTTCGACACTCACAGACATCATTATCTGTTAGGATGTCGAAGCTTCCCAACTTGACCCATTCTCGTTTAAGATGTCAAACAACTCTCTTGGAAAGCTAAATCCACACTTTGGCTCTACGCAAGGTGGAATGGTATGATCCTGAGCAAAAGAAAAATCCTGAATTAATGCTCATCTAATTCCTCCGTTTTGATTTCTCAGTTCAGGAATCAGGAGCAAGCGTTGAAAGAGAAAGAAATGGCTTATCCTTTTAGTGTACTATGTTGAGTTTGATAGAAAATAAGAGAGAAACAGTCTCGATCGAGGGAAATTTTCTAGGATTTTCACAGCCAGAGACTTGTCCACAGTAGATGCAGGGAAATGGCCATCCATAAAGGAGGTCGAGACCTTGACAAAATCTTCTACTTGGTAATAAACAAGGTCATTTCAATTGATCATGACCTCGAAGCCAAGAAAATAAACCCCAAAATCTTCTACTTGGACTGAACCCCCCATGTGCGTAGTAGACTTATTCATGTGCGTAGTAGTCTAATGGGCCGGATTGGACCGGTTCAGCCATTCTTAGTCGGGCTATTTACTTCTGAACGTATGATTTTTCGTGTAGCTCATGACTGTTCAGCACACTTTAAAATTCTAAGCCCCACCGTACAGGATTGATGTCAAATTCATGGCAGGATGCGGTTTATAGGGCGACTGTAATTTCAGAATTTTGCATGGGCTGCAGTGTATTTGTCCGCATTATTTTTTGGATCGTGAGTAGGAATGACAACGGTCCCCACGAAAATCCCTATCTCCGTTCCCATCCCCATCCCCGTTAACGGGAACAAGGTTATCTCCATCCCCGTTTCCATGGGATCCCCATTTTTTGTGATTTTTTATAATATTAATTATTTTATTTTTATTTTTTATTTTATTTGAAAAATAAAATATATGATAATTAAAATTTACAATCCTATTAGAAAAGATTCAATCATATTTTTAAAATATTAATACAGACATGTATGTGTACATATATGCATATATAACGTATGCATACATATACACATATATTAGTGGAGATCCCATGGGGTAAGGATCGGGGTCCCTGCAGACCGAGGAGTGCTCTCCCCGTCCCTGCCCCATCCCCACTAACGAGGATGGAAATTTCCCCATCCCCATTCCCGTAGAGTGAAAATCATCCCCATCCCCACCCCATTTAGGGCGGATCCCCATGGGGATCAGGGAAATGGGGAAAATTGCCATCCCTAATTGTGAGATTTTTAATATAAATAATTAATTTTGTTATGAAAAAAAAGAAAAGATCTTTTTTACCCAAATTTTTTGATCGAGATTTAGGCTTTATATGAGGGCCAAGTTTAGGTTCAATATGTAGGCTGATGGTCAGGCTAGACTTGGGCTCAAGCTTGAATATGTACCTGTTAATATAAAGAGAAAGCTCAGCCCATCCTAGCCCGTAAACACGACAAGTGCAAAAACAATCAATTGATGAAAATTGCCATTGCTTAACTCAGACTCAGTTTGAAAGGAGTACAAATACAAATTTGTAGAATGCAAAACCTTGTATTTTATATTATTTTATATGTATTTATATTATATATATTTATATTTCAGTATTTGTACTCTCTCCAAACTGAGCTTCATTTTCAATCCTTGAAAACAAGTATTTTGCATTCTTTGGTGGTGTTTTGTACCATTGTTGTTCGTCAAGAAAACGGTTCCAACTCATCACAAGTAGGCGTTTCTTCCAATGATGTCTTATTTTTTGTTTGGTTAAATGGTTTATTAGGAAAACGACTGACTTGGGTTCTGCAAAAAATGTTTATCCGGCTTAATTGTCATAAACTGAGTAAAAGAAATCAGATTTGCTCCTCACGAACATTGCAGACGTGAATTGGGAACATCACCCTTACTTGAATTTTATCATTAATGGGTAGATGTTCCCAGTACAGTACATGACCGGGATGTATTGTGAGGTTGCTGTGAGGAAAGTTTTGTGAGTAACAAATTCGACTCCGGATCTTGTGACCACAAGAACTCTGTTCACATCTACCCACAACACACTACCCCGTGCATAATACTATGTAGGTGGATGGATGTTACGTGGATATTGATCCAGACTCTCAACTGCTTGGAAGAAACTCTAGAACAAAGTAGTGTTCAGTACCAAGGTTTAAAATATTGATACACGGCGATATGCCGGTAAGGCGTATTGGCCTGTATCGGTACTGCTTTTTTATGTATTTCTTTTATTTTTTTTCAAAAATGATTCAGAGGGGCTGATTTAAAGCCGGTCTACCCCCTGAACCACTCACCGACCTGAAACACAACCTGTACAGATGTATTGGGAAGGCTCTAATACAATACATATCGACTGATACGTGATGAAATTTTGATCATTGCTCAGTACTACAATCTCATTCTCTTGGGTGAGTATCCAAACTGCTGCAAAGAGCACACATATCAAGGGAAAGCATATTTCTTACATTTCCTTGTATTATGTTATAAATAATACATCAGAGCCCAGATCGGTATCCTCATACCATTTAACAAACATAACAACATCTAGTAAGATGAAAAAACGGCAAAATGCCCATTAATACTAAAAATTAATTAGGCAGTGTTTGTTTGCGGTGTAAAATGTCATCAATGTAGAAATCCATTGATGGAGTTTCACACCAAACGGTTTAAAAGTCCATTGAGCTTCACAAAACGTGATTATCAATATAATATGTTATGGGCCCGCGTGTAGGATCTCGTCACGGGTCGGTCCACGGGGAGAAAGCCCTACTT